CCCACCCCTACCCGCACCCCCCCTCCCCCTCCTTCCACGCAGTCTCAGTCGGACGCGGAGTCTCAGCGGTCCAACATGGAGCGGGAGGACACACGCTCGTCCCCGAGCACGCCGTCCACGCCCTCCGTGTGCTCGCCCACCTCCACCGCCAGCTCGGTTCCGTCCACGGGGAAGAACGTGTGCGCCAGTTGCGGTCTGGAGATCCTGGACCGATACTTGCTGAAGGTGAGCGCCCCTCCAGGGTTTGGCGTTTTTGCGTGGAGTCGAATTTGTCTTGTGTTCTAGGCCTGGACGCTGAACGTCAGAACTAAACACGGTGACTGTTTCGCAAATGGGGGAAATGAAGCGAATTAGACGTTTATTCGTTTTGCTCATCGTTACATTTTTGCATTGTTAGCCGGGGAGTAAATTTGAGTCGCAAGACTTTTTAAAAATTTTTTTTAAGCCTGTCAAAACGTGACTGTCACGTCTCCTGTTTCTTCTCCCTTTTAAACAAATTTCCCTCGTGGGAAAGTGGAGTTACCCAAATTAAACGTGATGAGAAGTGATATATAATGCAATCCAACGCTGTAATATCAATATAAAAGTCAATTTAAAACTAAATTGGATTAACATGATAAACCATACGGCATTCCAGTATTGATAAATAAATCGAAAGCAATCGTCTAAACTATTACTGGATCAGTATCAATCAGTATAGTAAGTGACTTTTACATCGGATTATAAATACTTTAAAAGGACGTCGTGGTTAAATCGTGCTGGAAAATTGTATCCATCAAGATTATTTTCAAATGAAACAATTATTTTTTTCTAAGACCTGCAGCCATGAATTTAATTTCTATCTATCTCATTATTTTCAAAGCCGAAGTTTCCTATTTATTTCTTGAGCCAGCAAAATACTAATCGTGTCTATACTGTATTTTTGAAAATAGTATTTTGCCAGATTTGATTTAGTTTACCGTATAGACCGTGATTTGCCACGCTTTGGCGGTTAAACGAATCCTCGCGTATTTTAAGAACGTTATTCGTCTCGTTATTTTTATCGGATCCAGGTAAAATAAAAAGATATTGAACCCTTTTTATTTGTTTGTTTGTTTTTGGTTATCAAAAACAGCTAATGCTAGCGGAGACTTTACCCAACAGCTTCGAGAAACGAAACGATGAGCCGTTTAATGACGGGCAAGAAAACAAACGAATCCAAAATAGTATCTTCAAAGGCTCATTTGAATATTCAAAATGGCGTTCGAATTCAATTGGTCTTTTCATTTGTGATACAATATGATCTTGTAGACTTAATATTGAGTTAACATGTCGTTTATAATGGCATCGTAATATATGTATTGACTTATGTATTAAAAAAATTGTGTGTGTGTGTGTGTGTGTGTGTGTGTGTGTGTGTGTGTGTGTGTGTGTGTGTTGCGCGCGCGTGTGCGTGCGTGCACGCGCAGGTGAACAACTTGATCTGGCACGTGCGCTGCCTGGAATGTTCGGTGTGCCGGACGTCGTTACGTCAGCACAGTAGCTGCTACATCAAAAACAAGGAGATCTTCTGTAAAATGGATTATTTCAGGTAGGGTAAGTTTACTATACGACTTTTATTTGCAAAACACCACCACCTCCTCCTCTCTCCTCTCTGCTGAACTGCCTCTTGTCATCAAACACACACGTTTGAAATGCGGGATTCTTCAGAAAATAAGTTTTCATGGGATTCGGGGGTAGACCATTTTATCACATTGCTTGAAACACTGCGGTTTGATTTATTTATTTTTTGGGGAAAAATAATATTCACAACTGTACGTGTATATGTGGATATAAAGTTGCCATTCAACTCAATTTAATGCATTTTTTTGTACGTAATGCTGTATTTTTTTGAATATTATTGTGTAATACTTACTTGTTCATGACTGAATATGAACAGCAGATGTAGATCAACTACGAATAACATATTTTTTTAGTTTTGACCCAGTAGTCTTTTTTTTTAAGTAGCTAAAGTAAAATGAAATTCATGAATAGATTAGTATAGAACATGTAAAAAAAAAAACATTATTAGAATTAATATCACTACGAGTGCTTTTCTATAAATAAAATAACCAGTTCAGTTTGTTATATTTTGTAGCTCTGACCTCACTTTCTTGAGTATTATGCTGGATGCAGATGTCGTTGTAACATATAAATCATGACAAGGAAGATAATGATAAAACGTTGCAATATGACTGAGCTGCCTCCAAAAATAAGGTGGAAGTAATGACTTCAAGACAACATTCAAGGACAGGCAAAGAAAGATTGTTTCTCTTGTTTACATGTTTTTTTTTTGTTTTGTTTTTTTGCGCTTCATTCTGCAATCACAACCAAAAGCAAAAAACACAAATGAAAGCCAGGCCATAGCTGTCGTCAACGTTTAGCACTGCACTCAACAAGTCACTGGTAAAAAAAAAATAATAATAACAATACAACTATATATATTAAATACAATCATAAATATCTCGCAGACTCCTACTCGCACGAAACAAAACATATTTTTGTGCTTTTCTTTTTCCCTGCATAAAAATCTGACAGAAACCGCCCAAATGCATGGATGATGCAATCGCTTTCAGGGACAAACACAGGGTGTTGTCACTTTTTCATCTTGGAGGAGGATGAGGCGGGGAGGGTTGAGTGCTTCCAATTGTGAGCGTTGTGATGTCTACTGTTTGCAACAAGTTAGATCACACTGTTGTAGCACATGTGCTGTGTTACATTTAAAAGCTGGATAGGGTGTGTAGATAACGTGTGCGCATGTGCATTGGTCATGCGGAATTGGCAGAAAAAAACGTTAACAAGGCCCCGGGAGCCAAAATGGCGGCCGTGAAATAACTTTGGGAGTCAAATGGAGTCAAATGCTTGAAGATGTTTTTTTGAGCCCACAATTTCTTTCCCCATTTATGTTTGTCGTGGTGTATTTATGTATGTTATTAGTTTATAATGAGGTTAAGGCATTTGTGTTTTAGTCTAGCGGTTTTCAAAGGACCGCCATCTTGACTAGCAGTAACGTCGTGGCTCGACGTATTCATTCAGAACCAAAGTGCGAAAAACAAAACGTTTCTTCGAGACGAAATGCAAATGCATCGCGCTCAAAAGTGACACACATCCGAACTGTACCGACACAGCGATTCTTTCGCGAACCACACTTTGAGAATCATTATTTTAGTGTGTTTTTGTTTTGGCCCGAAAATCCTGGCGTAGGGAAACAAATGTCAGCGTGTGATCGAAACCTGACACAAAACCGCGGCTGAGGTTTATAATCACCAGCAATTACTCGGCCTCCACCCCAGACCTCCAGACCAGCAATTAGACCTCCCCGAGTGCCTGGTCAGCACCTTTTTTTTTTTTTTGTGATCCTGAATGTGATTCTGATCCCAAACTAACATAGACGTTTGCCCTTCAATACACACAGCTCAGTAGGCGAAAAGAAATGCACACATGTACTGTATATCACCTCGCTCAACGCCGCCACACAAACACGCCCTGCGGTCTCTGTTTATTTATGCATGTCCAGCAGCTGTCAATCACTTGCTTTTTTATTATTTTCACAACACACATTTCTGTTTGCTCTGCCAGGTTCGTACTAATACTCGAGCTGACCCCCCCTTTCCGTTTACACCCTCCCTCACCGGTCACCCCTTGCGCCCCCAAACCTCTCCCCGGACTGTGAGCCATTATTAAATATGTAAAATAGGACGTTGAGCGTATGCGAGCGACTTCCAGCCAGAGAAGGGAGTCAGGAAAGGTACAAATGGCTGTCACATGGCGAGATGTTTATGCCATCATCATCACTGAACTGTATAGCAAATCCTTTAACTCAATTATTGGAAGCTTGGCAGTGGCGCTAATCTTTTTTTTCCGATCGGGGGGGGGGGGGCATTCCAGTTTATTTGAGGGTCATACGGAATTGCATATTTCAAGTGTGTAAAGGTATCTCGTGTAATTTGGTATTGCAGAAAGATGGACAAACACCTCTTTGCAGCCACATACTTAACTCCAAGGCTAAGGAAATATATATATATAATGTATGTGTGTGTGTGTGTGTGTACAGCTAAGTATTAATTTTAAAAATATTTTTGAAGTACCCCCCCAAAAAAAGTTTGAACAAGTGATTGTTTAATTGTAATTTATAATTGGTGAAAAATAAAATAAAAATCCACTGTGCATGTATTGCACTCACACTTCCCTCTCACGAGTTGTTTTACTTTTCTAATTTTCAGTTAAGGGTAAAGGATTAAAAAGCATGAAAGTGAGTGTCGCTGATTTGAAACTAGTTTGGATCTAATCTAATCTATTCTAATCTAATGTAATCTAATCTAATCCAATCCAATCTAATCTAATCTCATCTATTCGGAAATGTTGATGTTTGACAAAAGCTGTTGGCACTCATTTAGACACATTTGTTTCAGTTTTCATTGATTTGGAAGTCACAGTGAATATCAGGAATGAAAATAAAAACACTTTTTTTTTTTTTTTTTTTAATTGAACTTTAAAAAGTGATGTCCAGATTCATTTGGACCACTTCCAAAACCTCTGGAGATGTTTCCTCATCTATGTCACTCTCTCATCTGGCTTTGGACTGACAGACGCTTTAATGGGACGTAATAGCAGGAAATCAGAGTGTGTTTCCTTCGGTGTGTGTGTGCGTGTGTGTGTGTGTGTGTGTGTGTGTGTGTGTGTGTGTGTTGGGATAGAAGTGCAGGACAAAGCCCTTGCTGTGCCACTCAAACTAATATTTCTGGCCGTGGTATCTTACACACACACACACACACACGCACACACACAGACAAGCAGGAAATCTCATGGCAGTCCCAATCAGGTGCACATCGGGGTGCTCGTACTGTACCCTGAGTGAGCTTTGTTAAGCGGAAAGTGCGCATGTGTGCGGCTGAATTGTGGCAGTAATTACTCATCAACCCACCTCTGGTTAGGTGATTAGGTTTCCATAGCAACCAGCCCCGCCTGCAGAATTGCAAGTTTATCTTTCAACGAGGGAATTAATCAAGAATGAAAAAAAAAAAGCCATCCGTCATACAAAGACTCAATTATTCGAGGCTTCCTACATTAATGCCGGATATTGTGCGTGATTGAAATGATTATTTAAAGATCTTCCTCCTTTGTCGACTCGATATGAAACCAAATGCTGCTCAAAAAAATCTATTCGATTCAATCTAACATAAATTACTACACAGAAAAACATTGAAAACCGTAACCCCACAAAATGCCTCGATTATATTTTGGAGCCATTTTTTTCATCAATATTTTTACATTGATAACATTGATACAGCAGGTTGAAATGCATGTTTTTTTTTTCATGACCTCATTTAATTATCCATTTTAGCAAAATTTTTGAGTTGTTGGGAGAAATTCACGTACGTGGCATACATTTTGACATATTTATTAATTTCAAAGCACAGTACAGTACTTGATGTCTTAACACCAATCCAAAACAACCCCCGGACTGCTGAATGAGTTAAAAAAAAATGGTGGGGGGCTATATGGCGATGAAGATAAGAGGAGGCGAGGTCCTTGAAATGAGTGATGACTTGCAGCTCTGGGTTTTGTCTACAGAGTATCCGAGCGGACGAGCTGTCATGCCGGATTAGTAGCTCAGACCCACAAATGTTTTGCTTTTTTCTGTATACCAAGAGGTTGAGCTCACCATAACAATCTGGAACGATCCGCCGGCACAGTACAATATAAGCCACAAAGTCCATTTGTCTCCAGAATGACTTTATTGGAAGATCTCAGTGACAACTTTGGCAAATTGGCTCAATGTATTCCCGAGTCGCCACAACAGGCTTGTTGTCGTGACCTTGAATGTTGGGCGGGGATTCATTGTTAGATAGTTTGACATGGACATGATTGGATTGTTATGTACAGGGTTGGAAATTTAAGTATGGAACATCATATGATCCGTCAATCCAAAAAAAAAACCACAAGTCACTGAGTTCTAGGACAACAAAACAACAAAGAGAATGCAGAAAAGTGGTTAAGATTGAATGGCTTTTATGTGTTGTGTTGTATTATTTTGTTGTGATGTTATTCTGACTTCAAGATGGCGCCGCGAGAGTGGCTGCCTTTACAGCAGCTCCTCTACTTTTTCTTCTTCTACTTTCTTCCTTCCCGTAACTTTGCGGCTGTAAATTGGGAATGTCTCCGTTGTGAGATGAATAAAGCTTTTCTTATTCTTAGTATTCTTAAATGAGTACTTGCATAACATTCCTAGGAAATCACAATTCCCCCCGTTATTTTTTTATTTTTTTTAATTATTATTATTATTATTTTTTTTCTCATGTGGTCTGTGGAGACACCGAGTTGGTAACCCCCGCTGCATTATTTTACTGCCCAAAATAATCATAATAATAATAAATCATGATAAACAACGACACTAGCATCAGTTTATATAATTGTTTATTCTTTCGCCACATGAATCGTGATGGATCCGTTTTTCTTCAGTGCGAGATAAACAAACACTCACATTCACAGAAACAGACCATTTAGTATTCGCTTATTCCGATTATTTCGTTGTTATGTATGTATCGTATGGCAAAAATAGGATATTCCCAAGCCGGGAAAGTGACAGTGCGACCTTCAGGCATGTGATGGTCGCCTTGAAATCGACTTGTCGAGTATAGCCGCATGTATGGATGGATGGAAGCACCAAAAAAAGGAGGGGAACACGCTTGTGAGGACTCGGAGGGCACAACAGCGGGCTTTCATCCCAGACAGAGTGGACTTGAGTGGGCTGGTTCTCTGCCAAAACCCACTCAAGTGGCGGCCCTTGTACTCCCCCCCGCTACAGATCGCCCGCACCGCCCGTCTCGAATTCACCCTTTTCCTTCCCTTTGCTTTTGTCTCTTCGCATCTCACAAGCCGCGCTGGCTTTTCTTGATTTTTTTTTTTGTTTTTTTTTTGCCTGCTTTTTTTGTGTCTATGGCTCCTTGTGTTTTATTATCTGGCGTAGTGGATATTATGAGCGATGACTTTTGTGTCCCCCCCCCTACAAGAGCTTTGTGTCATGTAGGAGTCTTTGTTGATCTTGGATGATGAAGTCAGATTGACAGCTACGGGTTGAATGACACATTACAATTACATTTCTAATGGTTGTAAATTCATTCAATTGATCAATTGTTCATTTTGGAAATGTGATATTCAACATGGCGGCTGGGTGGTCGACTGACTAGCGTGTCGGCCTCACGGTGCCGAGGTGCAGGGTTCGATTTCGGCGCCGGTTTTTCCTGTGTGGAGTTTGCATGTTCTCCCCGGGCCTGCGTGGGTTTTCTCCGGGTACTCCGGTTTTCCTCCCATATTCCAAAAACATGCGTGGCGTGTTAATGGAACACTCTAAATTGTTCCGAGATGTGAGTGTGAATGTTTGTTTCTCTCATTGCGCGATTGGCGAGTGGTTTGCCATCAGTCCAGGCCGCGCAAGGTTCGAGGTTTATCTTTATTCGTCTCCCTTAGGTGAAAATTGTCTTTGAGCAAAGCACATCTGCATACATGAATACAAACAAATCACACATCAGCATAACAGATAAAAACCTCATCCACATTTCTTGAGTGCAAGAACCCCCCTCCAGTGCAACCGCATCACACTTTCTGTTGTTCATGTTCACGAACTCACTTGACTGAGCGTTTTATTTGCTTTCCATGAGCGAGGGTCTGTTCCGCCTCCATCACCACACTGTTTGCCTCATTCTGTCCTCGAACGCATTTACCACCATGCGAAGGGCTCCAATAAGCAGCGCGTGTTTACGTCAGATATTAACGCCTCATTTCAGCCGCGTCTGTCGTTAATCATTTCGGAGTCCTCGCGACGTTTACGTTCCTCTTTCCAAAACTCTCATTCGCTGGCCTCGTGCCGCACTCGCACCCCACCCCAACCCCCCTCTATACCAATCATTGCGGTAGAATGGCGCCTGACCTCTCTGTTACTATCGGTTCCACTCCAGCCACGACAAGCTCTGATGTCATACACTTCTTTTTTTTTTTTCTTTTTTCGTACCTTCAACTCTGGGAAATTGCCAGAGTACTCTACATGTGTGTTTGTGTGTGTGTGTGTGTGTCAGGATTTTTAGGCATCAGTCAGGAAATTGCAGGTGTTGGTTTGTTTGCATCCAAAGCTCAACTGGGGAACTTTTAGCGTAGGTCACATCCTCCTCCAAAGTTCCTTCAATCCTCCATAAAGTTTAAACTGAAACATCAACGTTCAGGAGAGGACATTAAAAAAATAAATAAATAAATAATGGAGTCATCGTGCAGCTCGCTGTAATAGCAGTGAACGGGTCTCCCTCATAATTTAGTCCTGGGTTCGCAATTGGGCTCAGGCCCTCAACCATGAACCTTTTCAGGGGTATCAAACTCATTTTCGTCACAGGCCGCAGCATAGTTTTGGTTATGATTTCATATTGCGTCCGCATTTGTGTCTTCTCATCCAGGATATGTTGTCATGAGAACAAGCATGATACAAAACGGGTGGAACGACGTCGTCGTGTTTCCCGTGCCTCAGCGGCTTCTCTTCTTCTGTCCCTCACAGTAGGTTTGGTACTAAGTGTGCCCGCTGCGGGCGTCAGATCTACGCCAGCGACTGGGTGCGGCGCGCCAGAGGCAACGCGTACCACTTGGCGTGCTTCGCGTGCTACTCGTGCAAGAGGCAGTTGTCCACAGGGGAGGAGTTTGGCCTGGTGGAGGAAAAGGTGCTGTGCAGGATCCACTACGACACCATGGTGGAGAACCTCAAGCGAGCGGCGGAAAGCGGTGAGCGGGTTCGATTCTCTTTGTTGGATGACTACAATCACCCGCGGATTCAGTTTCACGTCTGTCTTGACTTTCATTTCTGTCCGATATACAAATCCACTGACCATGGGGGGGGGGGGGAATTTTAGGATCAGAAGTTTAGGGGTGCCCATTTGGGCAAATTCATCACGTCTTTTTTTTTTCTATTTTTTTTCAGTAGACTGCCATAACTACTAGTACTACTACTACTACTACTACTAATAATAATATTAGTAATGTATTAATATCTTAAGTATCAGTTATTTCCACTGTATTTTGATAACCCCCTTCCAAATAGTTTTCATCTCTGTAGTTTTGTTGAATGAAATCCGTATGATTGTAAAAGCTAATATAATTGTTGATGCTTAAAAAATGGGCAACGCCTAAAATTTTGGAACCAGCTTTCTTGGCTTAGAAGGTGACATACGGTATGCATTTTTTTTTTCTTCGCATATTCGAATCATTCTTGGGATTCCTGAAGCTCAGTCAAAATACACAAAGGAGAAAGAATTAGCACTGACTTAAAATCCAATTTTCATGCTATTTGAATTGACTGTTCTGGATTTTGGGGAGTCCGGTCTTCTGCACCCGGAGTACAGCTTTCGTTAACCACGAAGCGAACAGTGAATCCATATTATCAATTTACACGTGAGCACTGTTCTGGATTTTGGGGAGTCCGGTCTTCTGCACCCGGAGTACAGCTTTCGTTAACCACGAAGCGAACAGTGAATCCATAATATCAATTTACACTTTATGAGCGATCGCGGCTGTCTCAGAAAGCATGCGATCTCCGTTTCACAGCCAGCCTCGTGATCGTCTACAATTATTAAGAAAGATATAAGCCTTTGCTGATTGCAGGTCCCTGACTGTTGTATACTACATACAAATATAATCGATGCTATGCTAAGTGGCCTAGCAGATGCTAAAAGTGCAGCATTATTATTATTATTATTAATATTATTATTATTATTATTATTATGATTATTATTAAAGCAGCAATGTGCAATAATTAGACCCTATTAGAAAAAAAACTGGATGGTCCAATAGCTTGTAAGAAGGAGAATAGTGTCAAGAGGTCATCCACGAACTCAGGGCTAAGTCGCTGATGGTGTAGCGGTACACACACCGGACTTGTGAGTGGGCAGCGTGGGTGGGTGGATGCGGGTGTGAACGGTCGCTTGTCTCTATGTGTGCCCTGTGACTGATTGACATGTGGCTTCTGTACAGATCATGCAGGCCCAGTTTGCCCAGGACAACAACCCGGATGCTCAGACGTTACAAAAACTTGCCGACATGACGGGTCTCAGCAGGCGAGTTATACAGGTGAGTGCGTCCTGCGCGACCGTCACCGTCGTCGGCACTATCCCCCCCGCTTCCGTGGACAAACATCACACCTGTTTGCATCACTCTTCATAGGTGTGGTTTCAAAACTGCAGAGCAAGACACAAAAAGCACACGCCCCAACACAGCGGGGGCCCCCAGGGTCACCCACAGTCCAGGATACCCTCGTCCTTGCCCGATGACCTTCACTACTCCCCCTTCGGCAGCCCCGACAGGGCGCGCATGGTCGCCCTACACGGATACATCGACAGTATGTCTTTGAGCGTTCGCTATTTTTGCTTGCCATTTGCAACAATGAAGACGGCAACAAATAGGATTATTTCATTGTGATAAAGAATGCAGAAATTATACAAACAAAATAATGCTGACTTGACTCTGCTTTCAGATCAAATTATTTTATTATTTTCTCATTGAGGTAAGTTAAATCATTTAAATTTTGTACAAAACGGTTACAACCATAAAGTTCAACTCAGCTGACTTGAAGTTAGAAATGAAATAAATGGTGAGTCATTTTAAAAATGTTTCCAATAAAATAAATGCGGAGTCATTTTTGGAATGATTCCAATACAATATATGATTCGTTTTATATGTACAGTAAATATAATTCAAAATAAACTACTGTGACCGCTAAAAACCTTCAAATAAAATAATTCCAATGCTGGAAAAAAAACCTCATCACTTTTCACTTGCAGCTAATATTATTCATGAATAAAATAATTGAAATAAAAACATACACATACCACATACTTCACTCAATACAAAAAAAAAATCATAAAAACGCTAATCACTTAAATTACAAATCCATAAAATCCTTGTACAGGCTAACAATGTTCATCAAAAAAGCAATACTGTATCGCCATATCAACAAAAACCAAAAACAAATTTATATAACGTGCGTGTGTGTGCGTGTGTGTGTGTGTGTGTGTGTGTGTGTGTTATTCAGGTCACCCTTTCTCCGTGTTGACCTCCCAGAGTCTCCCCCACCAGGCCATGTCGCTGCCTCAGCTGCCCCTCAGCCGCTAGCATGCCGCCACGACTGCGACTTTTTAGGACCTGCCTCAAACCTCTGCGCCCCCCCGACACTTGACCTCCAATCACTCACACCCGCGCGGCAACCATCAGGTCGAGCCGGAGTCGGATCGGAGGAGAGAGAGAGAGTGAAAAAAAAAAAAACACCCTAGTGCGCCGAATAGGAATATTCTGCCTCGTCGTGTATGATGTCATTGATCATACGCACACCCGTGTAACAGGAATTGTTCCGACTTGGGAGGAGTTTGGAAGGCTGGAAGTGACTCAAGGAGATGGACCGAAGCCTCTGGAGGCCCGCAAATGAATG